CCAGCCACATCTGCAAGGGTTTGATTTGCAAATGAAATCTCCCCAGGCAGCACCCACTGCTGGGGCTCTGGGGGTGACAGGTGACAATGACACAGACACCAGGAATTACAGGAAAATCCTTTATTGGTCTCTGTCCCCCCCTGCACTGGCTCAGGCTGTGCCCAGCTTGGGGCTGGGGGCTTGGCCAGCAAAGGGTCTCCCAGCTGCCACCCGTGGCCACCCGTTCTCTGATCCCTGGGTTCAGGGTGGGGGAGCCCAAGGTGGGATTCAGGGCTGGATAAGCCCCCCCTGCCCACCTGCATCCCCCAGGGAGCAGCTGGAGGATGCAAATCACTGGAGCATTCCCAGCCACAGCACTGGGGACGGGTCAGGCCTGGGTGACATGTCCCACCCTGGTGTCCCCAGCTTTGCATAGTCGTGGTGTGGGGGGCCCTGTGGCCACGGGGAGGACAGTCCAGCCATGGGCAGGGGTGACACTGGCAGCACTGGTCTCTTCACCCCGGGGAGGACAAGGACAGTGTCCCCCACCCAGCCTGGGGCACGTGGTGGCCTCAGATCCTGGTGCATTGGACAGAGAAGAGCCATAGCAGAAAAGGTCCCAGGTGGTTTTACCCTGGGGGGGTTCCAGCCTTTTGCAGCCCCCCCAGGGATTGGGGTGCAGGGAAGGTGCCCCAGTGCCCACCCTGCTGCACCCCATGCCATGGGAAAGGATTGGACTGCCCTGGTAACTCCTGCAAGGAGGGATGGGGGGCACCCCCTGCACCCCCACCCCAGCTCCATGACCCCCCAGATGGGCAGGAGGGTAGGACATGAGACAGACACCACCTCGCAGAGTTTAATGGGGGCAGCCCGAGCTACAAGTCTCACCCCACAGCACACGACACTCACCTCCCACACCAAAACAACACACAGAAAGGGATGGGGGGAGAGGGAACCCCCCCAAACACCCCCAGAGCAACACAGAGGCACAGCAAAAGCACACAGCGAGGCCCTGGCTCCACTCCTCCAGTGGGTCAGGGTGGGCTGGTTGAGGGGGGTCAGGGCAGGGAGTGGGTGCTCCAGCCAAAACGCTGAAGGAAAAAGCACTCAAGAACCTATGAGAGGAAGAAGGGACTCCTCACCCCCAGTGAGACCTGAGGCAATGGGGCAGGGGGTGCTGAGGTGCTAACTGAGGCCAAACTGGGAGCCCTGCAGCTCCCATCCTGTCAAGGATGCTCAAGGTGAGGAGGGGGCTGCACCCTGCTGTGGTGGGGCTGGAGGGGTCAGGGGCACCTTGCCCAGGTGGCAGAAGGGGCTGTGCATCAGCTGCACCCCCCCAAGGGGTCTGTGCCTGCACGGGGGGGTGAAGGGGGACACCCCCTCCCTTCCACCACTAACAACTCACAGGAAAACAGCAAACCAGGTGGGAAACACCCGTCACACAAACCAGGAGAGAGGGTCCACGCCATCCCCCTCTCCCTGGGGAGGTGTGAGGGAAGGGTGAAGCTCTGGGGGTGCAGGGGGGCACCCCCTCCCCATTGCCATCAGCACCCAGAACCTACTGGTTGTCCTCTCTGGCAGCGTGTAAGGAAAGAGAGATGGGGCACAGCCCCCCATGTTAGACACAGTGAGCCCCACAGCATATGGGCCCTAGAGGAGGGATTTGGGGTTCCCCCTGCTCCCCAAAGGGCTCAGAGCCAGGATCCAGCCAGACAATGACAGACAGGAGGTGGCAGGACAGCCAGACACTGGTGAGGGGACAGTCAGGAGAGACAAACCCCTCCATCTCCCAAATCCTCCCCCAGCTGGGCCAGGACAGACTAGCACAAAGAGCCACAGGACACAACAAGCAGTGAGAGAGGACACACACTGGGGTGAGCCTATTTTTGGCTTTAAGGGTGGGCTTGGCCCAAGTCCCCCTCCATCCCAGATCCCAGTGAGGGCATGGGAGCCTTACAGAGTTTGGTAGGTGCTGTCCTTTGACTTGATGAACTTGATGATGAAGAAGGCAACAGCCTGGATGCTCAGCACCAGCACAATGCCCCCGATGAAGCTGGCAGTGTCAAAGCCAGGTGGGCGAAACTCAGGGCTATCTGTCAGTGGGGCACTGGTGGTGGTGGTGGTCCCTGATGGCAGTTGAAAACAGGGAGTTTAAAGGGGTTATGGGTGCTGTTGGCATCCCTGGGTACGGATGTTCCCACCAAGGAGAGGGGATTTGGGGTGCACACAGACCCCAGTGACTGCACAGGGAGGAATGGCTGTTTCCCAGCTTGGGGCTGGGATCTCCCCACCAACACGTGGATGCTGGGATGGCCTTGGCCCCTTCCCATGCCAGAGCTGCAGGAAAGAAACCAGTGGCAAAAAGATCCCAGTGGGATCAATAATTCAGAGGGCTCTGGGCTCTGGTTACACTCTGTAATTAGCCCAGTGCTCTCCAGTTCCCACTTCCTGGAAGAGGCTCCTTCTCTGCTCCCAGCCCTAGTTCCAACCCAGCTGGAGTTGGCAATTCCCAGCAAGGATGGCAGCACAGCTGATTCTTGGGGGACTATGGGGTGTCCTGATCCCCCCAACCCCATCTGCGCATTGCCCAGGGCAGAGAGGGGGGACAGGGATGGAGCTGTGACTCAGGACAGGGCTGGGACCTCCTGGGCAACAGCCCATTGATGCAATCCCCAGGGCAACTCCACTCCTCCCTCCTGAAGGGATGTGAAATAGAGGGAAGCATCTTACTGGGACTCGTCACCATCCCCTGGATTGCCCAGGACCCCCATCCCACCACCTCCTGCCCCCCCAGACCCACTCACTTGTGGAGTGTGTCACTGGCTCCTTGCTATGGGACCGTGGAGGCTCTTCTGTGGGGGACTTCAGGGCTAAGAGGAGGCAGGGACAGAGGGAAGCAGGGAAAAGGAACATCAGGGGACATTGTCACACCCCCCACACCCTGTGCCTTTGTCCCAGGGATGGGATTTCATCCCCATGGCCCCAGCACCCACAGCAGCACCTCCATCCTGAAAGCTGCTGGGGCTGGGGGAGCTGAGGGGGTCTGGGGGTACCCACTGGTATGGGGGTTACCTCGGCACAGGGTGCTGGTGTTGTAGAATGCACAGTTTTCCCGTGTTGCTGCTCCTCTCTGCACACAGCTCCCTGTTTCTGTGGAAGAAGGAGCAGGGTTTTCCCAAGGATCCCAAACCAGTGCAGCTGATGGCGTTTGGGCCCAGGGCACTATAAACAGCCAATGTTCCCCCATCTCAACCACTCAGTGCTGTTCCATGTGCACATGACAGAGAGTCCCCAGCATTTTCCCAAGCCCAGTGTGGCTGGGAGCAGCACACACCAAAACCCCACACCCCTGTCAGCTGGGCTGGCATGGATCCCTCCCTCCCCTTGGCATGGGGCAGCTGAGATGGACCTGGACCACGGAAAGCAGCTGGGATTGGGCACCTCAGAGTGCTGAGTGCTGGCACCAGCCTGGCATAGCCCCAGCACAGCAGCAGGGGCTGGTGAAGGACAGCAGGAGCCCCTTTCTGTCCCCTCCCAGATGAACCCCTCACCTGGCTCCTCGTGGGTCCCACAGCCCACCCAGACACAGCCTGTGGTGTTGTGTGAGTGGGTGACAGCTATGCATGTCTCGCAGGACCTCAGCTCGCTGCAGTCTCCTGCCAAAACCAGGGGAAAGGGATCAGGACAGGGTCAGCATCTGTCCCCCCAGCTCTCAGTGCAGGGAAACATCCCCCAGCCCTGGGGGAGGGTGATCCTGGGATCTTTTGATGCAATGAGGCAGCAGCATCATCCTGGCCAGCATCACCGCTCTGCCCCCCAGACCAATCTGCAGGACCCCCCACTCCCATGGCCCCGGCGAGAGCAGTGAGTCACTCGGGTGTTTGCAGAGCTGCTCTTCCCCCACACACGCTCATCATTAATTTACAGCGATGACTGTCGGCGAGGGAGGCTGCGATGAG